TATAATTTAAAAACCTTATGAAGAAAGCTCCAGGTCCACGTGGCTACACTAGTAAATTCTATGAAATATATAAGGAAGAAAACCAGTCTTATACAAACTCTTTCAAAATATAATACCCCGTGCCTGTTGAAAGTTCTCTCTTTCTCCCGTCTCCTCTTCTCTCTCTCTCTCTCTCTCTCTCTCTCTCTTTCTTTCCCATATGACCTCAATTTTTTCCCCCTACCTGATGCAGTGGTCATATAACCAGGGCTGCAAATACAAGTGCCTGAAACAGCAATGCTTCCTAAATAAGAGATTACAAAGTATATTTTAAACCTTATGTCTGAATTCCTAAAGGCCTGATGGACCAGGATGTGCTTTCACCCCATCTGACAAAGTTGGTGTTAACAATGAACACAGCTGTATGCCTGGTGCTAAAGACAGTCCATTAGATCTGTACCTGTGTAACCTTGCCCTATGTGAACAAGAGTGGACTGGAGGTGGGGGAGGGCACTTGGTAGACTGTTATTCCTGCCACCAGCACAATGGCCAAACCTCATATCCATTCCAAAGGTGTAAGAGTTTGGGTATAAATGGAGAGGAGAAATAGCAGCGAAGGGAAAAGTAGTAAATAAATAGGTTATGTACTGCAAGAAATCCAATATTACATTAACATCTCAAAAGAGGCTCAGAGCAAGAGATGATATCATCTCTTAGCTCAATTATATTAGATAGCTGAAAGGGTGAAGCCATGTGTTTGCTGAGACCACTCCTGCTTTTGGAACCTGACAAGCCTACAAATCTGACTGGCCTCATTCTGGGGGACATTTTCATATGAGATGATGTTGGACTGAAATGATTACTAATGACTGTGTGAGATCCTAGTAATGTGCCGGTATCTTCTGACTTGTATACTGTTTTGCTGTAAGGGTTTCGTGGTTAGAGACCAAGGGGTAGGCTGTGAAATAATAGAAAATATATATTGGTCTCTGCCCCCAGTTCCTGGCACAGAGTTCCTAAAACCCTTGTAATTCTCTAAGTGATAAGAACATTAAGAGCATCTTTTGTTCTATTATTTGATCTCTGACCCCAGTTCCTGACCCAGTGCTCTTTAAATCCCTTGTAATTTCCTGAGTGATAGAGGAGTTATCTTTTGTTCTAATAAGGTGACTCTGATATCTCCTGGATGGGGACTGGTCACCCGAAAGACCATGATTAGAAGCTTGGAACTTTCAGCCCCATCACCCATGCTCCAAGGAGGGGAGAAGGGCTGAAGACTGAGTTAATAATTGATCATGACTACGTGATGAGCTGCTATAAAAATCTCAAAAGTATGATGTTCAGAGAGCTTCTGGGTTGGTGAGTACATATACATGCTGTGAGGGTAGCACGCCCCAACTCCGTGGGGACAGAAGCTCTTATTCTTGAGACCCTTCCAGACCTCACCCGATATTATCTCTTCATCCGGCTGCTTAGCTGTATCCTTTATTATATAATAAACTGGTAAACGTAAGCTAGTATCTCCCTAAGTCCTGTGAGCTGTTCTAGCAAATAATCAGGGGTGGGGGTGGTAATGGGAACCTATGATTTGTAGCCAAGTCAGCAGAAGTTGTGGGTAACCTGGGACCCACGTCTTTCAACTGGTGTCTGAAGTAGGGGTAGTCTCCTGGGACTGAGCCCTTAACTTGTAGGGTCTGTGCTAACTCTGGTTAGTGTCAGAATTGAATTGTAGGACACCCAACTGGTGTCACAGAGAATTACCTGCTGTGGGAAGAAACCCCACAAAAACACACATCTTTGTGTCAAAAGTGTTGTGGGTGTGGTAGTAGTGAGAGAGTAGAGAAGACACAATCAGGAGGAAGACTGGGTTTTTATCACACATGGGATCCACTGCAGACTGATCGCAGGACCTCAGAATGTGACTGTATTTGGAGACTAGGCCTTTACAGAAGTGATTATGTAAAATGAAGCTGTTGGGGTGTGTCCTAATCCCATCTGACTGGTGTCCTTTTAAGAAGAAGAGATGTGGACACACACTGAAACACTCCAGCTGCATGAGCACAGAGGAAAGACCATGCCGAGGACACGGGGAGAAAGCAGCCTCCTGCAAGCTGAGGAGAGAGGCCTTGAAATGACAGGAAAAACAACCTTGCCTGCACCTTGATTTTGGACTACAGGCCTCCAGAACTGTGAGAAAATAATTTCTGTTGTCTAAGTCACCCAGTTTGTGGTAGTTTGTTATGGCAGCGCAGAGGCCTAATGCAGAATGTGTTTTAGTTTGCATCTCCAGCTCGCTAATCTTGCTTTCTTTTAATTTTGTCTAAAACACACCTTTGGTTCCATGGCTGCACTGCTCCAGAGACAGTGGCTGTATCACCCACACCCACTCGCCCGCCCCTCGCCAGGAAGGCAACTCCTCCACCCCCTACCCCCCATCCCCGCATTCCTCCGGATCCTTCTCTAGCTGTCGGGCCTCCTAGCCCTGGGCTCCCTAGGTGGTGCGCGCCGGTGAGGCGCGACTCGGAGGGTCTTTGGTCTCCAGGGTCTGCTCTCCCGCGTTCCTGGCACGCTGCGGGCGCTCGAGCTGCTGTATGGATGTTACTGGATTATAAATGTCTCCTACTTGCGGAAAAGGGGCACCGTCCAGGGCAGCCCCAGGGTCTGGGATTCAGAGATGCCGTGATCACGGTGTTCGGAGGCCGAGACCTCCACAGCCCAGATGGTTTGGGAAATGAACACTAGGACCGCAGGCGCGGCGCCCGTGCACGCACCCACGTGGGGCGCGCCCGGATTCTGCCGGGGAGAAATGTCCTAGACTCCCGCGCCCGGAACTACACCTGCGATACGCCCGCCTCCCCTGGCGGGGCTGCTTGGTCTGAGAAAGCAGAAGCTAGCGGTGCCCGGGGGACTCCCGCCGGAGCTGGGATCGGGGAAGAGAAACTTGTGGCAGCGGTGGGAGGTGAAGCCAGGGGCGTGGCCGGGGCTCCTCACCACCGCTCCTCACGCGGCCACGCCCTGACATCGCGGGAGAGAACCTTGGGTCCCCCGCAGGCGACCCGGGATAACACCTGCCCCGCCCCGCCCCTTCTCGCTGGAGGTCCGAAGATTGGGCCATTTCCCGAGCCAAGCCGTCACCGCTTACCCGGGTGCGCCCGCTCCGCCCGCCTGGAGGGAGGGGCTGCCTGCACAGTGCGGCGCCCGGACAGGACCGGTCCGGGAGTACGGATCTCCGCCCCCTCCTGCACTCTCAATCGTCCCGGTACCCCAGCGATCCCCGCGCCCCTGGGCCCTCCGCTAGACGCCGCCGTATACCTGCTCTGTGCCGCCCAGGGCCCCGGATCCCGGTGCAGCCCCCAGTCCTCCTGGCTCCCTTCATACTCTGCGCCGAATCCCCCCCACCCCAGAGTCTCTGGGCTTCTCTCCTGGGCCCCCAGGGGGGCTCCGTCCCGGCCCTCTCGAGCCCTGCTGCTGCCCAGGCAGGAGCGCGCCATGCTTCGGCTCTTGGCGCTGCTGCTCGCGCTGCTCCAGCCGCCGGCGCGCGCCCAGGAACCCGCGGCGCAGGACGTGAGCCTGGGCGTGGTGAGTACGGAGTCCACCTGCTCCTGGGATTTTCTGGTGGGCTGGGAGAGGGCAGTAGGTACGGGACTCGTAGGTCAGGCTGGAGCCTGATTCAAATGTCCAAAGAGTGATTGGGGTGGGGTCCGAGAACCCAGATTTTTGCATCTGTCAGGTTTGGGATAGGGATCTGAAGATCTGGAAAGGGACTGGGATGGGGAGGTGGGGACCAGGACCCTTTGGGCCAGATAAAGACTGGAAAACCCAAGTCTGGAAGGCCAGGACCTTGGGGCCGCGGGGGGGGGGTAGCGGGGGGGGAGCGAGCAGGCACCTGGGGCTGGGGGCCCTGGGTTCCTGATGCCTGGTGAGAGGTGGGGCTTCGAAGATGGTAGTGGGAAGGCAGAGTCCCATCCCTCCCACCCTTCCCGCTTCACCCGTTCTCTCCTATGGCCTAGGACTGGCTGACCCGCTATGGCTACCTGCCACCACCCCACCCAGCCCAGGCCCAGCTGCAGAGCCCTGTAAAGCTGCGGGATGCCATCAAGGTCATGCAGAGGTTTGCAGGGCTTCCTGAGACCGGTCTCCTGGGTAGGTGGCCCCCACTCCCTCTCTAGCCCTGCCTCTGCACCCAATCTGACCATTATCTAGCTGTTCTTAAACCTCAACATGCACATTGAAGCTATAAAAATGCTGATCCTAGGTCCCAACTCAGGTGGTTATCAGGCATTTCTCTTTCAGTAAATATTTATCCAGAATCTCTTACATGCAAGGCCAATTCAGGCTCTGCTGATATAGCTGTGAGCAAAGTAGATAAGGTCCCTGCTCTCAGGAGGCTGACATTCTAGAGAGAGACAGACACACTCTGGAGATCAAGAACAAATATGCAAGATAATTTCAGATAGTGGTGTTTTGAAGAAAATAAAATGCTAATGGACGGTATTGAGGGGCTGGTCTGGTCAGGTCAGCCTCCTCTGAAAGGTGTCATATGAGTTGAGAGGAGCTCCTATGACACAAAGAACCTGTAGGACACAAAGAGGAGCCAGCCATGGGAAGATATGGGAGAAGAGTGCAAAGGCCCTGTGGCAGGCAAAGACTGTGTACCTGTGATGAGAGGGGACTGAAGGGCTGAACAAGTGCCTGATTGGGGAGAGGGAGCTTGAAAGGTGTTTGGGTTTGATTCCAAACATGGTAAGGAACCATGGGAAAGTTTGACAGAAAGAAGCAACTGTCTCGCAGTTTTACACTTCCTCTGGTTGCTGGTGGAGAGTGGAGGATGGGGAGCATGGAGGCCAGGAAAGAGGCATTGCAGCATACAAGCAAAGGATGACGGTGGCCTGACTAGGGTGTGTGGGGGTGTGGGTGACACGAAGTGGTTGAATCCAGGATGCACATTTTGGAGGTAGAGCTGAGAGCCTCATCTGTTATGTTAAATGGGAAGAGAGAACTGGAGAGATCCTGCCTAGCTGTGAGGGAAGGCAGGATCTTTCCCTGTCCTGTTCACTGGCCTGCACATCTGGTATCTACACATGCTCAGTTACTCTTTGTGATCTCAAGCAGAGGTGAGGTTTGACTTTTTTTCAAAAATGAGGAGACTACTGAGAATTGAGCCAAGTTGGATAAGAGGATTCCAGGCAGCTCTGATGCAGGAGAGGTTGGTTTGCCACAGGAGACCAGAGACCCCGCTGGTTCGAGGACTTTGGACTTTATCTGGATGTGATGGGGACTTGGGAACTAGGGTGTGGGCAACCTCCCAGAGCGTTCTGGCAAAGAGAGGAGTTCTCACCACACCCCTAGAGGTCCTTTCTTGAGTCCAACTGCCAGAGCTCGGAGAAGTGGGACCCCCAACGTCCCTACCTGAAACTTTGAGCATCACCTGGAGGTGATGCTAGTCTGTCCAGGGCCAGGTACAGAGAGTGATACCATCCAGAAAGGCAATGTCATAATTTAGTGTGAGCTGGCTTCCAGAATCAAACAAATCCAAGCTATGGGGCAAGTTTCCTAACCTCTCTGAACTTCAGTTTCCCCATGTAGAAAGTTAGCTGGTACCATGATTAGGGTAGGTTGTCCTTCTGCTGATCCCACTCCCCCTTCTCCAACCTCTCTACAGACCCAGTGACAATGGCCACCATGCATAAGCCTCGCTGCTCCCTGCCTGATGTGCTAGGGGTGGCAGGGCTTGTTAGACGGCGCCGCAGGTATGCTCTGAGCGGTAGTATGTGGAAGAAGCGAACCTTGACATGGAGGTAGGTCCTGGTGCCCACCCCACCCTGGGCCTGCCTTCTGGGCCCCAGCTTCTGTATCCCTGGCCACACTTACTCCCCATTCCTCTCTCTCCAGGATACTCTCCTTCCCCCAGAGCTCAGCACTGAGCCAGGACACTGTGCGGACCCTCATGCACCATGCCTTGACCACCTGGGGTATTGAGTCAGGCCTGAAATTCCAGGAGGTGGGTTCTCAGGGCCCGATAGAGCCTGACATCCTCATCGACTTTGCCCGGGCCTACCACCAGGACAGTTACCCCTTCGACGGGCAGGGGGGCACCCTAGCCCATGCCTTCTTCCCTGGGGAGCATTCCATTTCTGGGGACACTCACTTCGACGATGAGGAGATCTGGACTTTTGGGTCAAAAGGTACAATGTTCCCTATTCTGAGATGTCCTCTCTCCAGGTCTGTCTGTCCTTAAGAATTAGGTTTAAATTACATTTATTGATGAAGGTTGTATAAGTTGAGCTTCTCCAGAGAAACAGAACCAATAAGATGTGTGTGTGTGTGTGTGTGTGTGTGTGTGTGTGTGTGTGTGAAGTGATTTAAGGAATTGGCTCACGGGATTGTAGGGTCTGGCAAAATCTGTAGGGCAGGCCTGCAGGCTGGAAGTTCAGGTGAGAATTGATGTTTCAATCTTGAGTTCGAACTCTCTAAGGCAACCCAGCTGGCTGGAAACCCAGGCAAGATTTCTGTGTTGCAGTCCTGAGGCAGAATTCCTTCTCCAGGAAACCTCAGTTTTTGCTCTTAAGACTTTCAACTGATTAGATGAGGCCCACCCACAGTATGGAAAGTAATCAGCTTTGCGTACAGGCAACTGATTGTAGATTTTAATCACATCTACAAAATAACATCCACAGCAAAATCTAGGCTGTTCTGGAGCTGAGACCATAGTCTGGCCAACTGGACACAGAAAATAACCCATCACAGAGGCTTGTCGGGTGCCTAGGTCCAAGCTGGGGCTGAGGACTTAAAGAGGCAAAAACACAGCTCTGTCCCACAGCTGAGTCAGAAGAGTAATTGGCAATTGCTACACACAGTGACACAGCTACAGGGAATCACAACAGGGAAGTCCTTGAGCATGTGGGTGCTCAGAGGAAAGGCCAACCCGAGGCTTTTGGCTGAGGGGAGCTTCTTAGAAGCAGTGACTCTGACTCTGTTCATTGTACACACACATGTGTACACACACACATACAGAGTGAGCTAGTGGGCAGGCTGAGTCCAGGATACTCAGGAGTGGTCAGGCTTGGGAGCACTGGGGTGAGAAATGGCCTAGGACATTTGGGGCTGGAAGGCAAAAATATGGTGTCAGGAGGAAGACCGTAGAGGACTGAAGGTAGGTTTCATACCACAAAGGGCCTTAGAGAGCATGGAGAGGACTCTGGATTGTAGGATTCCGAAGGCAATAGGAGACGTGGGAGGTTTTACATTCTAGAAGTACCATTGGCTGTGGTGCAGGGAAGATAGGGTCAAAGAGGCAGGAAGTTGCTACAGGGTCCATGTAAGAGATGGTGGTGGGTGATGGGAGGAGGGAAACAGAGGGCAGTGGGTGGCTCTGAGGGAAATGTAGTCAGGATGGGTAAAGATTGGGATCTGACTGGATCCTGGGGGCAAAGAGTGTAGGAGAGTGAGGTGCCAGCCCCCGGAGGACATAGTCCTGTCAATGCAGGTGGTAACTGTGGGAGGAGGAGCAGACTGGGGAAAGGCAGGGGTGAGTTCAGGTGGGGGCATATGTTTGCAACACCATGGGAGGTCAGCATAGCTGGTGCATTGATGGTTCAGTATCTTGCTCTAGAACTAGGACTCCTCTGACTTAGGTCAGGTTCTCCAGAAAGGGAGTTTGAGATGGAAATTCTTATGTAAGCAGTTTCTCAGGGACACATTCTCAGGGGAAATGGAAGCAGGAGAAGACTAGAGAAAGAAGCTGAGCAAGGATGTGGTCTCAGCTCCAGAGAAGCCTGACCCCATGGGGAGCTCTGGAGCACAAATAGTGCCACAGGGTTGGTCCTGCCTGGAGGCAAGGTGCCCAGCTCTTCTAGTCCTTGATCAATCAGCCATTGGATATAAACTGCTGGGGAAAGGCAGGCCGGGAGGGAGAGCCATTTTCTGGGGAAGGGGGTGGTCAGGGGATGGGGGAACAGGCTTAGAGAGAATTCGAATGAGGTACAGATAGCATCCGCAGTGGTGAGGCTGTGTAATGCAGCATTGAAGAACATGAGCTTGAAGTGGAACTCAAGGCTGGATTCCTCAGCTTGCTACATGTATAAGTTACTTGACTTCACTGTGCTCAGTGTTTTCATCTGAGAAAAGGGGATAGTAATAGTACCTGCTGGTAGCGTGGATGTGTAGATTAAACGAATAATTGGTCTCCAGCTCTTCTCACAGGGCCTGGCACGGAGTAGCGCTCTGTTCATTGCCAGATGCTATCAGAGCTGGGCCTGGTGGCAGATTTAAAAGTCAGCGGTACTGGGGGTTGGTAAGGTTTCAGGAGGAGAGGGTGGAATGTGAAGGTCAAGTACAGAGCTGTGGAGAGCCCCATAGTAAAAGGGAGGTTGTCAGGGGAAGAGGAACCAAAGGAATGGAGAAAGAACAGGCCAGAAGATGATCAAGAACAAAAGTGAAGGAGGAAGTGGTCAGCAGTGGGCAGAGCACCAAACCAGTCCAGTAAGTTACATGGGCTTAGATTTGGTCTTCTGGGAATGAAGTGACTTTAATGCTTGTAGGCTTGGTGAGTGGAGAAAGAATCCAGACCAGAGTGGGGTTAGAAGTGAGAGGAGCTGAAGAAATAAAGACTGAATTGAGATCACTGACAAAAGAACTTGCTGGGGAGAGAGAAGAATGTGGATGCAGAGTGGACAGGTCTGGAGGTATCTTAGGATAAGAGAGTCTTGAGCACTGAGGGATGTGGGATGAACCAATAGCAAGAAAGGGGTAGAAGATGGATAAATGAAAGGATGGATGGATGGATGGATGGATGGCCGGACGGGCAGACGGACAGACGGACAGATGGACAGATGGGTGGATGGAAGCATGAATGGATGCAGGGAATTTCTTATCCTGGAGGAGGTGAGCAAGGCAAGGTCCTCAAACAGGGCAGAGCAGGAGGCAGGAGGTGAACATCGGGGAGATGAAGCTACCTGTCCTGAGTGCACAGGAAGTTACAGATTACAGAGAAGGTCCTGTCTTGATGAAATAGGAAACACATTTGTCATTATTTGACATGTAAGAGTTGGGGGCTGGGGCTGGGTGGTGGCTTGAGGGGCTGTGGGCCTGGAATTGAGGCTGAATGTAGAGAGAAAAGGAGCTGCCTGGTGGGCCCCACGACAAGGATGAGAGAAGTTGCTGAGGACCCCCACAGACTATTTCTGTGGGGCTGGATCTGCATAGTTGTGTAATTTCCCCCAGCTGCATAGCGTGAGAAGGGTGCAAGGAAGAGGTGTGGCCAAAGGAGAGGCAAGGCAGGGAAGAGGAGGGTGAGAAATGAGAGAGATCTACCTGATTAAGACACCAAACTTCCTCTAGTTTCTCAGAAAAAGAACCCAGAGCAGCTCTGTGATTTAACTTGATCTCTATGCCTCAGTGTCCAGGCCTGTAAAATGGGGTTGAAGGTAGAGGTTTTGTGAAAAGTAAATGAGGATAAGTGTTTGCTACTCTTATGACTTATGTTATTTCATTTTTAGACTCTCATCTAGTGGCCTTTAGTGGCTGAGAGAAAGTTGCTTTTCAGTTCACCAGGTCACTTCCAATAAACCCGCTTTCAACACTGCTGACCCTGGTTAGCGATTTCTGAGAAGTAGATCAACATCTGGGGAAATCCGTGCCTCCCTGAGGGCTGCTCACCCCTCTTGCTGTCTCAGTCTCTTCTAGCCTCTCACCTGCTGAAGCAGGAGCCAGCAGGCTGCTGGTGGATGGATGAGGAGCTGGGATTCTGCCAGCAACCGGGAGTGTGAAGAGGCTCCCTTCTGGCGCCTGGGCTGGGTCCCCAAGGAAGAGGCCTCTGTTCAGCAAGGCCAGGAGCGAGGCTGGGCGCCCAGGCCAGCAGGCTGTGGTCAGAGAGTGCCTGCTGGAGCTTCAGGTTCCGAGGAGATGGATGAAGGCTGTAGTGGTGGGGAGGAGAGGCCAGAAGGTGGGGAGGGGTGGAGGCTGTGGGATGGGGAAATGGGGGAGGGGGATAGAGGATTGAGAAGATGCCGGCACTAGAGGGATGGGTATGGAAGGAGGGGGAGGATGGAAGGACCATGGGGGTGGGAGTGGGGCGAGGGTCTTGGAAGCAGAGTCCAAGGAGACTAAGCAACACTCTTCAAGGGTGGGAGTGAGAAGGATGGGGAGGGGTGGGGACCGCTGACAACAGACTGGAGCTGGGAGAGGGGAAACTCCAAGGACTGAGGCTTCCCTGAGAGAACTGCATGCACCCCCCCCCAAGATCTTGTTTCCCCCAAATATTTCTGTGTGCAATCTTCCTTTCCTGGGGGCAGGGGCTATATCAGTGTAAGTTCACCCCTTCTTGTGTCCACACTGTCTCCTCCTGCCTTTTCCCTAACCTGTTCTATGGATGGATCATTTTTAGCCTGTTGTCCCCATGTCTAGCAGTGCCAAATAAAAATATTTACTGAGTAAATGTACACATATAGGAAAGACGAAATGGCTCAGGAAGGGTTCTGGGCGGAGGAGGCTGTGGCCACCTCTGGAGGTGTTCCGGTCTGTCAGCAAGCCCTTCTCCCAGGGGCTTCCTGGCTGCCCCCTTTCCTGGTTCCTGCGGCCACAGCTCCAGCTCACTTTCCCTTCCAGATGGTGAAGGGACTGACTTGTTTGCTGTGGCTGTTCATGAGTTTGGCCATGCCCTGGGCCTGGGCCACTCCTCAGCACCTGACTCCATCATGAGGCCTTTTTACCAGGGCCCAGTGGGCGACCCCACCAAGTACCGCTTATCCCAGGATGACCGTGAAGGCCTTCAGCAGCTCTACGGTACAGGGAATGGTGGGGGGGCTCTCTCTGTGGCCTCTGCAGCAGGGAGGGAGCCCACACTTCTCTGACTCTCTCTACAGGGAAAGCGCCCCGAACCCCATATGATGAGCCCACAAGGAAACCCCTGGCTCCTCCTCCTGCACCTCCTGCCCTGCCCCCAGATAGGTGAGTCCTTCTGGGGACCTTGGGTGAGCTCCCTAATCTTGGTGTCCTCCTCTGTGAGATGGGCATGGTAAGAGTCCTCACCCCATAGGACTGTCATCAAGATGAAGAGAGGAGAAGCCCTTATTCCTTTCTTCTCATTTCTTTCCTCCCCAGCCCCTCCTTCCCTGTCCCTGATCGATGTGATGGCAATTTTGATGCCATCGCCAACATCCGTGGGGAAACCTTCTTCTTCAAAGGTGGGTCACTTGAGATCTCCCCTGACCCCATAGAGCTGGCTCCTTACCCATTTAGGGTGACCTACTGGGTCAGTGAGGTTTCCACCAGATGCAGAGACTTTCAGTGCAGAGGTGGTGGAGGGGGGAGGGTGAGGGTTGGGGTGGTGGTAGAAGGAAAGCCCTGGGCCAGCTGGTCACCTTAGAGTCACTGCACTCTTGATTCCCACATGGACCTCCCCACTCAGCCGTGGGAGGGGGACCCCAGCACTGCGTCTAGCCACACACTCTGGGGGACAAGGACCTCTTGCCATCTCATGCCCCATGCCCACCCCTTCTCCCCACAGGCCCCTGGTTCTGGCGCCTCCAGCCCTCGGGACAGCTGGTGTCTCCCCGGCCTGCTCGACTCCACCGCTTCTGGGAGGGGCTGCCCTCCCAGGTGAAGGTCATCCAGGCCGCCTACTCCCGGTACCCCGATGGCCGAATCCTCCTCTTCAGCGGTGAGTGGGACCCGCGGCCCGGGGCGGGAGGGTGGGGCATGGAGAGCAGCTGCTCATCAAGCCTCTTCCCTGCAGGGCCCCAGTTCTGGGTGTTCCAGGATCGGCAGCTGGAGGGCGCCGCGCGGCCGCTGGCCGAGCTGGGGCTGCCTCCGGGGGAAGAAGTGGACGCTGTGTTTTCGTGGCCACTGAACGGGAAGACCTACCTGGTCAGGGGCCAGCGCTATTGGCGGTACGACGACGCGGCTGCACGCCCAGACCCCGGCTACCCGCGCGACCTGAGTCTCTGGGAGGGGGCGCCTCACTCCCCTGACGATGTTACTGTCAGCAACACAGGTAGGAGAGCACGCGCGAAGGGTCTGGGACTCCGGGACTGCAAGCTACTGGCCCTGGGCGATTGGGCTAGAGGCTATCCTGGGGGATTTCCGGGAGCCCTCGGGAGGAGCGGGTCTTGGGGCAGTCTGGACCAGCCCTGCAGCGTCTCCGCCCGCCCCGCAGGTGACACCTACTTCTTCAAGGGCGCCCACTATTGGCGCTTTCCCAAGGGCAGCGTCAAGGCCGAGCCGGACTCCCCACAACCCATGGGCCCCGAGTGGCTGGACTGCCCAGCCCCCAGTGCTGGCCCTGGCAACCCCAAGCCCCCCAAAGCGACGGTCAAGCCCGGAACCTGCAACTGTCAGTGCGAAATCAACCAGGCTGCAGGACGGCGGTCGGTGCCTCTCCTGCTGCCCCTTCTGCCCCTGCTGGTGGCGGGCGTTGCCTCCCGCTGAGAGGGTACAGGCCCTACTTGGAGGGGTCAGGGTCTCCCACCGCGGGCCTGTTGGGGGTTGTGATCTCTGCAGAGCCCCATCCTCTGTTCTCAGGAGCTGGCTCAGCGCGGGATGAGGGTGGAGTTAATTCCCGGGGACAGGTGGACAAAGGTTGGTCCTTGGAATGAACACCGGAAGTGTTTGGCTTTGCCCACCGCCACTCCATCTACAGAAACCGCTGCAGTGGTGTGTTGTCCCCGGGGGGACTTTCCTTTCCAGAAATAGCTGGCTTTTCTCGGAAAGCAGCCTGCTGACTCCCTGTAGCCCTTGCCCCGCCCAGCAACGTCCGCTCAATCTGGGTTTTTAGAAGACAAGCCTGATTGAGAGATTGAAAGCCAGCCCCATCCCCACACCCTCACATCCCCTCTGCTCTGAGTTTTCCACAAGTTTCTCATCCTGTTCTGCTTCCACCACATCCCAGTCAACTCCACATGAATGGGGACCTGGGACCCAGCCCTGAGACCACCCTTGAGCACCAGTGCTACACTTCCTGGGTGACAACAGTGGCCAGGAGGTTGACCCTCCACGATGCGGCCTGTGGACCTCCTTGCTGGTCACCACCCTGGACCCAGAACTGCTCTCATTCAATAGGACACCCTCCTGCCCCTAAAAACCAATCTCTTTCTACACACTGGAGTGTCTGCAATTCCCTCAAGAACTCCTTGAGTCAGCTGGTGGAAAGACAGTGGACTGAGTACTCTCTTAATCCTGGTCACCATCTCCTCAGCACTCCTGGGTAATAGGTGGGTGGAGCCTTATTCACTGCTCACTCCCTCTCTCCCACCTTCCCCCCTACTCTCTCCACGGAATTCAGGATATAAAACTGCCTCTGGAACTGTGCTTTTGGAATGCTTCATATCAGAATCAGCTAGAGAACTTAAAAATGTAAATCCCTTGCCCTCACTCTGAATCGTCACTCACGGTGGGGCCAAGAGTCTTCATTTAAATGGGTAAGGGGGCTGGGCCAGCAGCTGTCATCTCTGTCTCCTGGTTTTTCTATGTCTCTGTCATTTTCTCCCAGGAGCCAACCTCTTCATGTTCTCTTTAAGAAAAGCTGATGGCCTTGGTTGATAGAGGTCAATCCCATGGGTGGAGTCAGTTAGCAGCCACTTCTTCAGTTGCCACCCAACCTCATGGCCCCACAGTGCTGCCTGGAGTTGAGACTGTGGTCTACAGTCCCAGCGAGCTGGGACCATGCCAGCCATTGGCCAGAATAAGCAGAACATTATGATGGCAACAGCCAGGTATATTCAACTAGTCCATGATCTGAGAATTCTAAGCCACCAGAAAACCATCTGGTACACTGTTAGGATCTTTTTGAAATATGAGGGGGGTGGGTGGGGGACTTGTATTTTAAAAGCTTACCAGCCCCACCCACAAAAACAATAAAAATGACTGAGAAAGTCCTTCATTTCTTCTGAGCACAGATGGACCTTTGGTAGCAGGAACTTGACAGACTTGAATCCAGAGTTGATGGGTGGCAGGTGGGGAATGGAAGGAGAATGAGTGAGAGGAAGAAGCAGAGAGAGGAACCCAAAAGTTGGTTGAGGGATGTCCAATGTACAGTTTGAGGCTGCTTTCAGTGCTACATGGAAACTTCTCCAGCCTTTAAGAATTTATTAAGTCTACTACACAAAAATATCATGTTGAATTGATTAAAATTATTTTTAAGTGGTACAGTTCCATAATCAAAATTTAAAACTTTTGTTCTTGAAAGGACACTATCAAAAAGTAAAAACAACCCACAGAATGGGAAAAAGTATTTGCAAATAATATACGTGATAAGCAACTTGTAACCAGAATGCAACTTAATAAAAAGATAAATAACCCAATTTTAAAATGGGCCAAGAATCAGAGTATATATTTCTTCAAGGAAGATATATAAATGGCCAATAAGCAGATGAAAAGATGCTCAACATCATTAATCACTAGGGAAATGCAAATCAAAACCATTATGGGATTCCTTTTCACACCCACTAGAATGCCTACAATCAAAAAGACGATAGTAAGTATTGCTGAGGATGTGGAGAAATTGGAACTTTCATACACTGCTGCTGAGAGTGTAAAATGGTGCAGGAATTTTGGAGGAGTCTGGTGGTACCTCAAAAACTTAAAAACGTAGTTACCATATAACCTGGCAATTCTACTCCTATGTATATACTCAAGAGAAAAAACATATGTCCACACAGAAACTTGTATATGAACGTTCATAGCATTATCCATACTTGCCAAGAGCTGGAAACAACCCAAATGTTCATCAGTAGATGAATAGATACAATTCAGTCTATTTATACAGCGGAATATTATTCAGCCATAAAAAGGAATGAAACTCTGACACATGTGTCCTAGATGAATCCTGAAAATATTATGCTAAGTGAAAGAAACGAGACGCAGAAAGGTGACATATTGTACGATTTCACTTATATGAAATGTCCAGAATAGAAAAATCTATAGAGACAAAAAGTAGATTGGTGGTTGCCTAAGCCTGGTGGGGAGTGGGAATGTGAGAATTTGGGGATGATGGCTAAAGGGTGCAGAAATTCTTTTTGAGGTGGTGAAATGTTCTGAAATCAATTGTGATAGTCAAACAGTTCTGGGCATTGACTTGCACACTTTACTGGGTGAATTGTATTGAATGTGAATTATATCTCACTAAAGCTATAAAAAAAAATGGTATAATCCACAGTGAAACACAAAACGTCTTCAGATGGATGGTGGCCTTTGTGAGATAGTCATGGAAGGGCTGAGTGTCACGTGGGTCACGGAGCCAGGCTCCTAGAGATGAAGCCCAGAAATAATATTGTGCCTAAAGCAGGAGCAGCAAACTTCTATCTCTCCCACCCTGGAATTCGAAGACGGCTCAGGGAAGGGTATGAACTTTCTGGGTGCGCAAGGGGAATTTTAGACAATTGAATGGACTCTTAAGGGAGATGCCAGCTGAAGTCTAGTTAATCGAAGTGAGCCTTTCACCAAGGAAGAGTGATTTGTAGGTCTGTCCCTGTGGGGCTCACATGGGTGGCCCCTCAGGAGCCAAAGTGTCTTTGAGGATGATAGGAGTTAAATTGTGATTCTCCCCAAATTCGTATGCTGAAGTCCTAACCCCAGTATCTCAGAATGTGACCTTAATAGGAGATAGGATCTTCACAGAGGGAATCAAGTTAAATGAGGTCTATTCCAACATGACCTGTGTCCTTATAGAAGTGGGAAGTCAGGAGACAGACATGTATACATGGAGACCACCATGTGAACGTGAAGAACGCCATCTACAAGCCTAGGCTTGAGCCTGGAACAAATCCTTCCCTCAGGGCCCTCAGAAGGAACCAACTCTGCCAACAGCTTGATTTTGACTTCTAGCCTCCAAAACTGTGAGAGAATAAATTTGTGTTGTTTAGCTACCCAGTTTGTGGTGCTTTGTCCTGGCAGCCATGGGACACTAATACAGAGGGCAATACAATGGCAGTGCTGAGCCATGTGGGGCTTTGGCCCAGAGTGGGGTATTAGGGAAGAGCTGGGAGGTGAGCCAGGTGGCGTGAAACAAAGCCACCTAAGGTGGCTGCACTTCCTGCCCTGTCCTGAGCCTGGAGCTGCTACAGAACCTTCTCTGGACATGACGTATACTCTAGCCTCCAACTGGTTAATTATTTTTGGAAGCTCTGGGAAATGATCCAACCTGCTTTCTCAAGTCTGGACTTTCCCTCTGCCCCTCCTCCATCTCAGGCTGAGATTCACATCCCAGTTCAGAAGGTGGAGGAGTTACAGCTAGGGACCCAGGGTATAAAGGATACACCCTCCCTCCCCAGGCCTCTCAGGCTTCCCTTTCCTTGTCTTTCCTTCTTCTGTTTGTCCTTCTGTCTCTGTTTTTGTTTCACATCTATCCCTCAAATACACGCA